CTTGGAAATGGGGACAAATAACCTCAGATGCAATATAACTTTTAAACTTTCCATTGGAACATACCTCTGTCTATTCCTTCCAAGCCTAAGTTCCTCATTACTCATGAGAAAAGCAGAAATATATATTTGTTAGAAAAGCAGAATTTGAATGGAGAACTGTCATGAGGTGTCATTAAAGAGAGTTTTAAACATTTTATTTGTAAAAGTTTAGTTTTAAAATGTTGTCTTCATCAGATAATATCTGCTTTCTACTATTATGGATTTTTTACACTCAGCATAAAAGAAACATGTAATATTTAAACTGAAACCATTTTATTCACTCTATAGCCCTTCAGGAACATGGGATTTGATTAATAACATGCAGTCCTTAGTCAAATAAGCTATTCCTAAAGGATGTAAACTTGAACTACTCTGCTAGACATGGACATATCTTAAGAAATTGTGGACTGGGCATGGTGGCTCACGCCTGTAATCCCAGCACTTTGGGAGGCAGAGACAGATCACCTGAGGTCGGGAGTTCAAGATCAGCCTGACCAACATGGTGAAACCCTGTCTCTACTAAAAATACAAAATTAGCCGGGTGTAGTGGTGCATGCCTGTAATCCCAGCTATGTGGGGGGGCCAAGGCAGGAGAGTAGCTTGAACCCAGGAGGCAGAGGTTGCAGTTAGCCTAGATGGTACCATTGCACTCCAGCCTGGGCAACAGAGTAAGACTCAATCTCAAAAAAATAAAAATAAAAAATGTGAAGCAGGAATTTAATATTCATACTATATTCCACTGGTGTAGGATACTTCTCTGCAGTGTCATTTTTTTCGTACACATTTACCCTTAAATAGACATTTAATTTCAGGTTGATCTCATTGTCATCAACATCTTCATTTCTGTTCTCATCAGTTGCAATTTAAAAATTACTGTTATAGGCACAACACTTCTCATATATTATTCCTCTTAATCCACAAGCAATCCTGAGAGATACTATAATCCCACTTATAAGTGAGAAAAAGGCTCAAGAAAACTAAAGTACTTGTTCTAGTTCATATAACTAGGAAGTAACAGACCAGAACTCTAATTCAAGACTGACTTCATGGGGTAAGGAATGGGTCCAGTTTCAATTTTCTGCATATGGCTAGCCAGTTCACCCAACGTAATTTATTTAGTTGGGAACTCTTCCTCACTTGGGTGTATTTGTCAGGTTTGTTGAAGATCAGATGGCTGTAGGTGTGTGGTCGTATTTCTGAGTTCTGTATTGTGTTCCATTAGTCTATGTGTCTGTTCTTGTACCAGTATCATGCTGTTTTGTTTATGTAGCCTTGTAGTATAGTTTGAAGTTGGGTAGCATGATGTCTCCAGACTTGTTCTTTTTGCTTAGGATCATTTTGGCTATTCAGGCTCTTTTTTGGTTCCATGTGAATTTTAAAATGGTTTTTCTTCTAATTCTGTGAAGAATGTCAGTGGTAGTTTAGTGGGAATAGCATTGAATCTATAAATTACTTTGGGCATTATGGCCATTTTCACAATATTAATTCTTCCTATCCATGAGCATGGATTCCATTTGTATCCTCTCTGATTTCTTTGAGCAGTAGTTTGTAGTTCTCCTTGAAGAGGTCCTTCACTTCCCTTGTTAGGTGTATTCCAAAGTATTTGATTCTTTTTGTAGCAATTGTGAATGGGAATCCATTCATGATTTGGCTGTCTGCTTGCCTATTGTTGGTGTATAGGAATGCTGGCAATCTTTGCACACTGATTTTGTATTCTGAGACTTTGCTTAAATTGCTTATCAGCTTAAGAAGCTCTTGGGCTGAGACAATGGGGTTTTCTAGACATAGCATCATGTCATTTCCAAACAAAGATAATCTGACTTCTTCTCTTCCTATTTGAATACTCTTGATTTCTTTCTCTTGCCTGATCGCCCTGGCCAGAACTTCCAATACTATATTGAATGGCAGTGGTGAACTCAAGATGGATTAAAGACTTAAATGTAAAACCCCAAACTATAAAAACCATAGAAGAAAATCTAGGCAATATCATTCAGGACATAGGCATGGGCAAAGATTTCATAATGAAAACACCAAAAGCAGCTGAAACAAAAGCAAAAATTGACAAATGGCATCTAATTAACTAAAGAGCTTCTGCACAGCAAAAGAAACTGTCATCAGAGTGAGCAGACAACCTACAGAATGGGAGAAAATTTTTGCAATCTATTTATGTGACAAAGGTCTAATAGCCAGAGTCTACGAGGAACTTAAATAAATTTACAAGAATAAAAGAAACCCATTAAAAAGTGAGCAAATGACAAGAACAGACATTCCTCAAAATAAGACATTTATGCAGCCAAGAAACATATGGAAAAAGCTCAACATCACTGATCATGAGAGAAATGCAAATCCAAACCACAATGAGATACCATTTCATGTCAGTCAGAATGGCTATTAATTAAGTCAAAAAAAAAAAAAAAAGGAATGCTTTTACACTGCTGGTGAGAGTATAAATTAGTTCAATCATTGTGGAAGACAGTGTGGTGATTCCTCAAAGACCTAGAGGCAGAAATACCATTTGACCCAGAAATCCCATTACTGGGTATATACTCAAAGGAATATAAATCATTCTATTATAATGATATGTGCACACATATGTTCATTGCAGCAATATTCACAATAGCAAAGACATGGAATCAACCTAAATGCCCATCAATGATAAACTGGATAAAGATAAAGTGGTACATATATACCATGGAATACTATGCAGCCATACAAAGTAATGAGATCATGGCCTTTACAGGGACATGGATGGAGCTGGAAGCCATTATCCTCAGCAAACTAATGCAGGAACTGAAAACCAAACATTGCATAATCTCACTTATAAGTGGGAGCTGAATAATGAGAACAAATGGACACACGGTGGGGAACAACACACACTGGAGCCTGTTGGTGGTTGGGTGGTGGGAGGGAGAGCATTAGGAAGAATAGCTAATGGATGCTGGGCTTAAAACCTAGGTGATGGGATGATCTGTGTAGCAAACCGCTAGGGCACACATTTACCTATGTAACAAACCTACACATCCTGCACATATACCCTGGAAGTTAAAATAAAAGTTAAAGAAAAAAAAAAAAGACATGACTTCCACCTTAATCACTAGTCTGGCTGCCTCAATAGCAAGTATGAAAGGAGTTATGGGGGAGCCAAACCATCTCCAAAGTAGCTCAAAGCAGCTCAGAGGATGCAACTGTCCCTCAGTGGACACTCTGGAGTCTAAGTAAGCCCTATAATAACTCCTAGGAATGAATACTGCCATAGATCTACTCATTTGAATATATGCAGACAAGTCAGGAAATATGGCCAATTTGCGCCCAACTGCCTATACAATAAACACTTCTTTTCCCTTGTTTTTCCTGTTTCATGGTTTTGTTCTCTCTTTATAACCCTAACAATTCTGAATAGCCCAGTGATTTCTTTCTAGAATTACTTCCCATTTACTTGTCCATTTCTGTCTTCCTCATCATGTCTATCGATAGCTACCTAACACTAAAGCACCTAACACTATAGTAATAAATGGCCAAATATAAAACTTTAGAGTCATGTAAAATGATATGTGAAATGAATGAGCCTAAAAGCTGTTTTTGTGTTGTTATTGGATCAATGATATTGATGAAGATGATAAAATAATATGTCATAATACCTGTAAAGGTTAATTCTATTTTTTTTAACATTTCCATTTTCTTATTAACTACTTGCTTTTGGCCCCCTAATACATGTTAACTCTCACTTCCTAACAGCCTTTTTGCCATTCTTTTGATGTTACTATGACCTAAGAGCCTTTTGTATTCTCCAAATTCCTACTGAAGTAGCATGCTTGGTTGCAATGATCTTAGACATCAGAAAAACTACCTATAAGCATTTTATGATCAACAGTCAGCTGTTCCAATAGGAAAGGTGCTTCAAGTCAACAAGATGCCTGATCCACATAAGTCCTTGGAATTATTAGTGCCTTAATTTACAAATTAACTTCATGCTATTAAAAGTAATAGACAACATTTTAAGATCTTTTACTCTTTAGCCATCTCAAGCTTGTCTGTAATATCCCATATGAGAAGTGATGCCTCTAGGTCATCGGAGATACTTTAGAGATCATTATTTTTCATTTCCTCTGGGCTTCCTTTTTATAAATCATTTGTGATCTTTTACTCTTCCTCCGTGACTATCACTTCTAACTCTGCCTTGCTTCTTTGCAGATGCTGTGCCTTCATCTTCACCTTTCAATTACGGTTTTATTTTTTCCCCTAGAATTTAGTTAAGAATTATTTTGCCATGTGCCAGGGAAATATGAATAAGAATACAGATATGTAGGCCGGGTGGGGTGGCTCACACCTGTAATTCCAGCACTTTGGGAAGCCAAGATGAGTGGATCACCTGAGGTCAGGAGTTCGAGACCAGCCTGGCCAACATGGTGAAACCCCGTCTCTGCTAAGAAATACAAAATTAGCCAGGTGTGGTGGCACATGCCTGTAATCCCAGCTACTCAGGAATCTGAGGTGGGAGAATTGCTTGAACCCTGGAGGTGGAGGTTGCAGTGGGTCCAGATCACACCATGGCACTCCAGCCTGGGCGTCAAGAGCGAACCTCCATCTAAAAAAAAAAAATACAGATTATGTGAAATTTCCATTTCACAACGTATGAAAAAGGTATGTACTCCTCATTAAACATTAAACATCAGCATCAGTACTGTCACCACATTGTGAGTTTTTTCCACCACATTTATTTACAATAATAATATGGATAATTTCAGGAAATGAATTGTAGAAAATATTAACTAATTTCTATATATGGGCTTAATGTAGCTTTTTATAGATATGTACATGGCAGTCCATGCCATGAGTCATGTAATAGATGAATCCAAGTTCAATCAACACTTCCATTAAGAAAAAGGTATCTAAAGTTCCATAGTAGAATAGATCCTACTACAATACCACTTTTAAGAATTAAAAATATAGAATAGACAGGGTTCATTTGTTCACTCAGAGACCATTTTACTTTATTACTTTTTGGCAAAATTTAGATGTGCAAAGCAATGCAGATACTAAAATATGCTTTTAAAGTGTTTTTGGCTGTATTTATCTCTCAGCAGTTCTGACCCTAACATATATACTTACATGGAAAAAGCTATGGCTAAAAATAAATAAAAAACATCTTAATCATTAACATATAGACAAAATTGAATAGAAAAAAAGCATCAACATTATAAAACATGAAAATTTACATAAAATTGTTCCTGAATGTGAAGGTTGAAAGACTCTCTGGAGACCGGAAATATGTTTGAAAGAGAAACTTTCTAGAAAAGGAAAAAATCATTCCTCTACTTAGAATGGATATGCAACAATCTGTTTCTGAAGCCAGGGGATTGAACTGAATGATATATTGAAGTTTCTTCCATGGCCCACTGATTTGATGATAGCAGTAAAAAATATGTTAGTGAAAATCACTTAATACTGTAAAAGGATAATAAACACGTCTGGACAGGAATTCAGCAAAAATACATGTAGATGTTAGTCTAAATATATTTTTAAAATACAATATATTTTGACTAAACTGGCAGGACATGGACAGCTCATTCAGTTGACAGTCATCTGTTATAAAGCCATGATTATATAACTTTAAAATACATTTACAGACCTAAAAATTATTAAGATAATGTTTTATGTACATCACATAAAAGTTCAATCAGACTATAGAGTGCCATTTCACAGGAATAAAGATAACCATGTTTTAAACAAAATATTTTGCCATGAAGATATATATAAAATGTATAAATACATCACATGATACAGAAAAACAAGAATCATGATCTTCACATTTATAGGAATTTAAAAAATCTTCTCTGATGGAAATGTGTTACAATTCAGTCAAACTTCTCTTCTTGAAAGTAATCCGCAAAATTGAGATATTCTTCAAGTCGACCATATTTCTGTATATACAATAGAAAAGCTAGTTATTTTACTCAAAGCAATGAAGATAAACTGGGCCTTTGCAAACTACAGACACAATTAGGATAAGTTCATTTCATGGTAATCGTGAACAAAAATCTTTTTATGATAAACAGAAACTTAATTTCAAATAAGCATTTCCAACTCATAAAAAGCACTGGAAAGAGATCAAAGTGAGTAACATTATTAATTTCCTAACTGTGTTGTAAATTACAATTTTTCTATTATCATATTTTGAGTAGAAATGTAGTAACTTCAATAACTTAATAAAAAGTTTGTTGAACATATATATCAAAGGCTCTGCTATGACTGTCTATGTACAAAGTTTTAAAGATACTTTCCCTGCCCCTAAGGAGAATAGAGTTCAGTAGTAATACACCAATAACAATTAGTAATAAGTGCCAAAAGAGGTACAGACACTGTCATGAGGTTCAGAAGAGAGGTCATGGTTAGTTGAGGTAACCAGCAAAAGAGTGGCATTTAAGTTGTCCTGGGAAAACAGATTTGGTAGGCAAAGAGTTGGTGGCGAGAGTTTTCAGTAAAAGACAATAGACCACCAAACAGTGACATGACAAGAAAATATGGGACTTGACTACAACCTGGGTATTTTAAGAGAGCAGAGAGGGAAAAAGACTGAACCAAAGAGACTGAATTCAGAGAATACAAATTATAAAATACTGGCTAAAGAGTTGAACAATCATTTGACAGGTAATGGAAAATTGCTAAAGGTTTTGGAGCAGGAGACTGAACTGATCTAAGGTGTATTTTAAGAGAACTGGTAAAGTATTCATTCTAGAATAGTTCAGCAACTAGTTATCAATCTATGATAACAATTTAGGTCATGAGGATCCAAATTTGAGTGATAGCAATGAAGATGAAGAGTAAAGAACAAGGTGGAACAAGTTAAGAGAGGAGTCAAGAATGATTTAGAGATTTCAAAGTTGATAGAGCAGAATAATGGCAGGGTTATTTTGCAGGCTCTTTGTGGGAGGGAAAGAGATATATGATTTCAGTTTCAGACATACAGAGTTCAAAGTATTTACTTTGGTGAGGGGATTAATGACATACTGGTTTCTTGACTCTGTTTCTATCCTCAGTGAAATGAGAGAGGATCCCAGAGACCCTGACTTTTGTGGTGACAGGGACCTACAGAAGGGAATGTGAGAAGTGCATTTTCCTTCTAGACCTTGAAGGCTATGAAACTCTTTTTTATAATCCTATGATATCTGACTGGATCTCCTTCTCAGGAAAGACAGAAGAACATAATAGAAGGGGAAATATCCTAGGGACTACTTAGGAATTTTCTTTGGCCTAGTACTTAGATAGGTTTTATTAGATACAAGTAAAGTACTCTAGGATTAGAAACTTATAATTTAAAAGTTTGAATGTTTTAATGTTTTTCATATTATCTTTCTTCATATCTTCTTTATTATTTATTAAATTTGTTTTTGAAAATTAAAAATTAAAAAATTTTTTAAGAGACAGAGTCTCACTATCTTGCTGGGGCTGGCCTTGAACTCCTGGACTCAAGTGATTCTACCACTTCAGCCTCCCAAGTAACTGGGACTATAGCTGTGTACCACCACACCCACCTAGGACAATTAAAATTTATCTCAACTATACTAACTAGGAGGAAGGAAAACCTCTCCTTGCATTCATTGCAACTAACAGTTAAGATTAATTGATCACTTACTAATAGCTAGGAAATATACGAAATGCTTAAAACATATTACACATTTAATCTCCACAATCAAAACCCTTATCATTATTACTGTTTTAGTTGCTATTTTACAGATGAGAAAACTTAGGCTTAGAGAAGTAAAATAGCTTGCTCCCAAATTCTACTGCTAGTAAGAGGCAAAGCAAATACTTAAGCCTATATTTTTAACCTGTATGAGTATGCTGTTTCTGAGATTTAAATGGTGTGGTTGGGATGCAGTTTTGGCAAGAAAAAAAATAAAAATCTTGAAAAGGAAAGTGAAACTCACAACATTGCAGTTAGTATTACTCTGCTATCCTCTCTCCCTAAAGATGCTGCTCTCATAATTCTTTACTAAAAATTTGGAGGGTTTGGGTCTTAATAGTGAAGACTACTGTATTACAATGCCTGATGGACCTACTGATGAAAACAGTTAGAATTGTGGAAATGAAGTCTGGGAAAGAGGTCAGAATATAAGAGAAGTTTAGAATCGTCTACTCAGAAGTAGCAGCTAGAACTGCAGAAGGGAAATGATTTGCAAAGGAAACTGAAAGGATGAGGACAGAATTCAGTGTTAACAGGTACGTTTTAGCAGCGACCCTCAAACTTTTATCTACTTAAGAATCACCAGTGCTAAAAATATTGGATGTTTAACATCCACAAGGCTTGTCATTCAATAAATCTGGGATGAGGCTAGGGGATTATACATTTTTCAAAAACTTATAGGTGATTCTGACATAGTTGAGGGCCATGTTTTGAGAAGCATCAGTTTATGGGTGGGAAAAAAGAGAAAAAGTTGAAAAGGAAGGGAAAGAAAAGAAATGACAAGTGTTTAAGGAAGCCAAGGGATATCTAATTATAATTTTAAATTATTATTCATATAACTATTCTTCAATACATTTAAAATTTACATACAACTGCCATTTGTAACAGTTTTACATACAGTATTTACAGAACAAACTGGCACTTGATACTTCTATTGACATGCTTTCTTTACTACCTGGTGTTCACGCATCCACCAGCCAATCCCAATAATCCTATCTTCAACTTCTCATGAGGTCCCATCATCATATACACTTTCTTCTTAATGAACCAGTATTCATTAGAATTTTGCCGGTGTCATATTAGAGTATGTTATTGAACTCTTCTTCAGAATAAGATATGCATTATGTTTATTATGTATTTTGGTTTTATTAAAATTTTCCTATTATTTGTTCTTTTCTTATACTCAAGTTGCTCCTACACCCCTTTAGTATTATTACATTAAAAATGGATCACCCTAGTTCAACCTTTAGAAGGAAGAACAAGAAGAATGAAGTCAGTCTAGTTGGCATGTCTTTGGGAAGACATGCTGACTGAGACATCCTGAGGAAATGAAAGTAAAATGGCTGAAGAAGCAGGCAAGGGAAAAAGTAAGGTGTAGAATACAAGCCAGAGGCACAAAGACAGAAGCAAATAGTATGTCTAAGGCAAAAAAAGGGGTTGGCATAATTTGGAAATACGAGCAGAAAATGCTATGGAGATGGCATTCAGGTAACCCTGAGCCCCAGGCATTCTAAAAGGTTAGGGTAACTTTACCAGACTGTAGCCAAAGGCGGCACGCATCACAAAACACATGCAGTGCTATCACCCAAAGGCACACAGTGAGAGGGATAGACAGAGTGGGGATGAGAAACATTAGAGCACTTGACAAATTTTGAAATTTCATCATAGCACAAAAAGCTGCAAATGGGTTTATATTGGCTATAAACTTCTGTGGTTTCTAGGAAATCTTTTGAGAAAACCTACAAATTTTTTAAATGGAGGAATCTCAAAAAAAAAAAAAAGAAGATCTTTGGTATTTTTATGTGGAAAAAATGTGCATATTGTCCTAGATATGCACAATCTTGAAATACCTTCAATGCCTACCTAATGCTAAACGTTATTCTTTATGCATAATGTGACACTGAGCTTTCTTGAAAAGAAAGGCTAAGCTCCTTTCTTTTCCTGAGAGCCAAGTGTTATATTATGAAAAAAAGAATATGTTTTTTAAAAATTCCAGGTCCCTTCTGGTTTCCTAAAACTTGTTAAGCTTTCTCTGGGACATGTGATTTGAAAATGCTTTTTTTCTGCAAGAAGTTCAGTGTTCTTCCCCATATATGATACTATTATATAACATATACAGTATATGCACAGTGATTTTTCTATATATAGTATCCAATTCTTTATAACTGTGCTACCCCAATAGGTTTTGCAATTCTACTAGAGAGTTGGCAACACTTAAAGGCATCAATAAAAGCACTTAAGAATTTAATGTTGTCTAGGAAAATGAAGACGGGAAGTTACTGAATAAGTGATGGCTCTCTCCTAAGGCAAATGAACGAGTATGGGTAAGCGGGGAGAAGCATTTGGAGTAGGAGAAGTAGAAGCAAAGTAAAAGGCAAAAAGCTGAAGAGAATAAAATGAGAGAAAGGACGTAAGGATCAAGATGTGGGAGGCAGGCAAGATCACTGGGTGGTGGTTTGTGGTGGTAGGATAATTGTCAAAGGGAAATCAATAATGATGTCATTCTCTAGACTGGGAGACCTCCACTAAACATGACATGTCCTAAAAACTTTCCTATTCTCTTTTCTTTCCCTCTGCCAATAAGTTTGTTTTCTAAGCTTTCTTGCTTTATTTTTTATATTCCTTTTTTACAAATGTCCCTATGATATAACCCAGGCAATGGATCTCAGGTCAGGCTTTTTTTTTCTTTTGAAGATTAAATGTTGATGAGTTGCCTGAAAGTCTACGATTTGTTCTCTCTTATACATTCATGTAACTAGACTGGTTTTAGAAGATTGCAGTCATATTAGCATTATTTCCATATACCATAAACAATTCTAAAAGCTCTGTGAGCAGACCAGAGCTTATGAGCTGCCAGCAGATCTTCGGGAATCCAGTGCACTCTTCAAAGCCCCCACTTTACTCCTGATATCAAATTTAATGATCAATAGGATATGGGGGAGTCAAAATCAGTGCCGTGGCCTGAAACCTCTGCATTCCCCTCGATCTTCAGTTATAGTGCTCACTGCTCAGTCCCATGTCCTCAAGAAGAGGATGTGGGTGGTATTAGAACTGGCAGCCGAGATCCTTTCCTCAGACTGGCACCAGGTGCTTCTTCACTCTCAGGTCACAAGAACTGTTCTAAAGAATAGGAAGCAGACAAGCAGAGGTGAGTCCTATACTCTGTCAAAAAAAAAATCAGGGGACTTAATATATATGTAAGCAATACATACATAAAAGTGAAAGGACAGAGGTCCTTCAGTAAAGTATTAATGCTTATTAAAATTTATCTGATGGGCTGAGTGAATCCTTAGAACATCAGGGCATCTATTCAGAAGGACAGTGATAAGCATGAAAGGAATGAGCGGAAGAAGAGAAAATACAAAGGAGAGAAGAAAGAGATTCTCTTAAATTTCACTATCTTCTAATCATTTGTCTCCTTTTGCTAATCACAATTAGGCTCCAGAATCGACATGATGAGATTCTCACATATTCACTTTACCTCCTTAATCCAGCCACTTTCTTTTGATTGACTGAAAATTCTTTCCACTGTTTCTTTAACCTGTTCATCTTCAACTTCTTCTGTCTTTGCAATGGAGCAACATTCCTGGTACAGTTTGAATTTAAAATGTTTCAGTTTATGATAAATTCTGGTACGGTCAGCACAAATTCTGCCAACAGTGAACACCTAAATCAAGAAATAAAGATTATTATCTGACATATGAAGTGAATAATATGGTAATGAATATATTTCCTTTCTGGTTTTCAGATTTTCTTTAGTGGTGGAATTGAAATGCATTATTATCTTTAAATGATCCCTTTACCTTCTCTTACTTACACAACTAGTCAAACACTGAGCGCCTGTGAGGTTTCAAATATTGGGCAAGGCACTAGAGATACATAAATAAAAGATGTATTACCTGTATTAGGGCGCTACAGTTCTGAGAGAAAGACAAATGGTTATAAAACAATGTGAAAACTGCTGTGTCAAGATGCTATCAAAATGCTAGTGAGGAAGGGCACTTAGCCCAATCCAGAGAGGAGAAAAGTCCCTAAGCTGATAAAGCTTCAACTAAGTCTTGAAAACACAAGAGTTTGCCAAGTTTGGGAAAAGAGAGAAATGGCTGTAATGTGAGGCAGAAGATGGGCAAGGTAAGAAAAAGCATGGAAAGCATTATAAGTCTATATTTATGAGTTAAAAATGCCTGGATTATAATAATTTTCTAGCTATAAGCGACATGTAAAACTGAAACAAACTCTTACACCAAAATTAAGTATTGGCAGTTTTTTACCAGATACTTTTCTTTTTCCCAAAAAAATGATGGAAATTAAAAAATAACTTTGTATTTAGGCATACTGGTTGCTTTAAGGTGTTGTATGTGAGTAAGACATCAATATTTTGCTGTCAGCCAGCTGTAAGCATTTTAATTCCTATGTTTATATGGACTTGTATAATTCTATGATTAAGAACACTCTTTTTATGAAATCAAACAACCAGAACTTTTATCTTTGAGAATGTTTTGAATTTTTAAAATTTGTTATATAAACCTACAGCTAAAGTAGGAAGACAGTCTCATTGCACTAACCAAATTAAATATATTTTTACCTAAATTATTTTAGCCACTGTAGAAAATGCATCAGAAAGGGCTCCCAACATTATGATATGGTCAATTTTATTCTCATGGAGTAACCTAAGGAAACAGTAAACTTCTTGCTGACTTATGTGTTTGTGTTTATACCTAACTAAGTTCACTAATGGGTTATGCTTTCATGAGTACAAGTGGTATAGTTTTAATATTTATCTATATAACTTGTGTTCTGCCTGACAGAACAATACACTTATTTCCTGAATCCACACTGCAAGGAAACATACAAGTGATGAAAGACAAACCAGGAGTATGTTTCCAAAAATGAACAGAAGTTATATCACAAATTAGCAATAGTCAGGTTTGATGTGGTTTTTTTTTGTGTGTGTGTGTGTGTGTGTGTGTGTGAAAATTGTATCTTGGACATTTTACAATCCTTCAAATCTTCAAAAGTTTAAGAAAAGCATGTTCAGATTTCTTTTCATGGCTCTGTAAAAACCTTCCTGCTTTGCAGATCATAGAAGTAAACAGGTGTTATTGTACATGGCTTGCTTATTAAAACTAAGTTTTCCAATTCAACCTTATCATCAAAGCAGTCCTGGTAGTAAATGACATTTCAGCAATTCACTTGCTAATACCTCCAACTTTGTGTAAAAAGACAACACAAAGTTGCAGTGACTTTATGGGTAGCCTGTGCGTCTCCATTTCTGCCATCAAAGTAGATTGTGTGGGAGAACTCAGCTACAGCTGTTCTAGATGAAGTAGAGGCATATGATAAAATGACTTGTATTTCTATCACATTTATTCTGTATTTCCACAAAACAAGAGGAATTTATCTGTATAGCATTCCTAAGTTGAAACAAGAGGGAAGGAGAGGTGTTTAAAAGTCTCATTTTTTTTTCCTGTATGTAAAAAAAAGTATCCTTTGAAAATATTTAACATTACGGTTTACTTCTTTCCATTTCTAATTCCTACCCTCTTGGCATCTACTTATCATCATATAGATCTATAAATCCAAAATTACCTTAAAATATTCTTACATTATTTACTCCCAAAACTTGATCACATTTTATATGTAAGAGCCCATATAGAAGGGTACCACTATTCTAAAGTTTTCCAGAAAACAGTAGATGCATATGATAGCTGTAATATTTCTCCAAGTGAACTTACCCTCACCCCATGCCTATTTTCAGTGTATTGTTACAGCCCACTGTATTTCTTTACTATATGAATTGAAATATACAGTACAACACAGCTTATACTGTAGGAATCAACTTGTATAAAGTACTAAAACAGGTAACAATCTATGGTGTTAGAATGATTTCCTTAAATGTCCAGAAAAATATATTTAGAAATAACTCTAATTATCTAGTTCAATTTCTGTACATTAAGGAAATTATTCTAACAAGAAAATTAGTATAAAAATACCATAGGTAGAAAAATAAGTGCTGTAGTGAGTATTCACAAAGCAGATAAGCAAGATGACATATAAATGATGACTATGCAGGGTTAAGCACAGTTCTATGAACTGATAAATATGAGACTGAGTCAGTTCAGTTATCAGTATGAACCAACCAGTAGTACATATTTAAAGACTGGAGATGGAGCTAAAAATCTATCACTGAATTTTCCTAAAGCAGAAGAAGCAGCAGAAAGAATCTGATTTCTAATTTATTAGCTCTATCATGTGGAGTGTAAATTAAATTTGGATAACAAACTGAGGCAAGGAAATATAGTGAAACATGCACTGTGCAGACTTTGTAATATCCAGCCTACTGTAGGTAGCTTTTTGAAGTAGTTCTCTAAGCTCTTATTTATATGCAGAGGAGCCTGCTCCTTATGGAAGTTAAAGTAAGAAGAATGAAGAAGAAGATTCTCAAGGAAAGAGTAGTAAAGTTTTCTGGGGAAAGGTTTGTTTTCTGTTTCTGGGTCTTCAGAAAGATAGTACAATACCAATCCAAAGGATTCTATTTCCTTTTGGTTTGGTTTTTTGTTTGTTTTTTGCATGGACATATTATACAATGCCATTTGCCTCAAAATTATTGCTTCTTCCCACCAGATCCTAAGTATCTTAAGGAGTCTGGATAGACTCTAGGCAAAACTAAACATAAATCCAAGAATGTTTTTAGTTTTCCCAAACTATCTTTCAGATTTCACAACTCTCTTTCATCCAGGTACTTTCCTTCTCATCTATGTCCCTAAATTTATCACATTCAGATGGTCCTAGCCCTCTCGTCTTAGTACCCTATCAATACTGTTGTAACCAAATTACCCTTCCCCCAATAATTCCACTTTCCATCAAAGCATCCTTTCTTTTAAATAAGCTAATCTCAAGTAAGGAGAAAAGTTTTCATATGAAACCAATTTGCTGCTAAGTGAATTCATTAAAAGTATTATTTACACTCTTAAAAAGAACTTTAGTTAATCTTAAAGAATCTCAATTTTACATAACTACAAGCAGCAACACAAAATAATTAGTTTTCAAAATAACTTGAAGATGGGTGTGGGGTTAGGCACAGTCTCTTTAATGCTCTGGATTATAACTAGTTTATTTTCTCTCCTGGTTTTTCCTTCTTTACATATATGCATTTATATTGTACTGAAGCAGGATATAAAATAAATTTTAATAAGTTATTCTTCACTTTAAAGAAAAAGTGAAAAAACAATTTTATATTTAAAAATTTCAATCACATCCTTAACATAATAACTAATGTTTACATATGGTTACATACGCATACACACATTTTATATAGATGTAAAGATAGTGCAAACAGTAATTATTATTATACTTTCAACCCAGCATTATTTCCTAACTTTCATACTTTAATTTAATGATTGTATTATAAAAATTCTGCCACATAATGCTGCTGCTATACCATAGGCTATTAAATCACTAATTTTTATTTGGATTATTTCCATTTTTTGTATTGTAAATAATGTTTCAATCAACTTCATGATTATATCATCTGCTTTTTACTGAACTGCTTTGCAAAAGATAAACTTATAGACATTAAATAATATATAGCTTTGTGACTTTAGCTCTAAAAACCTAGTATTTTTAAAAGATATATATCACCTCTTTTTTCCTCTAGAAGTGTTTTTTTTGAGACAGAATTTCACTCTTGCTGCCCAGGCTGGAGTGCAATGGTGCAATCTTATCTCACTGCAACCTCTGCCTCCTGGGTTCAAGCAATTCTTCTACCTCAGCCTCCCAAGTAGCTGGGATTACAGGCATGTGTCATCACACCTGGCTAATTTTTTGTAGAGACGGGGTTTCTCCATGTTGGTCAGGCTGATCTCGAACTCCCGACCTCATGTAATCCACCCGCTTCCACCTCCCAAAGTGCTGGGATTACAGGAATGAGTCAGCACGCCCGGCCTCCTCTAGGAGTCTTACTTTCCATGAACTTACTAGTTTCAATGCAACCTTGATAGCATCGCATTTTATCATTTGATTTGAAAATACTTTGCCACTTTAAGAGTTATCAACTGGCATCATAGAGTAGTTTTAATTGTATACCTTTACATGCAGAATAAGTATTTTCCCATATATTTGTTAACTTTTATAGTTTTCTCTTATGTGGCTAGTAACATTAATGTTCTTTGCTTTTAGTTCATGCTTTCAGTTTATTCTTTGCTTTTTAAATATTTGAATACTATTTTATATAGAATCTTCACAGGAATGTCAGAGCTCTACAGGTGATTTTCTTACTCTACTGTCCTCTTCAGGATTAGCTATAGACAGCAAAGACTAAGAATAAAGCAATGTATTTAATCTACATAACAGAAAATGGTCCCAAATGTATTTTAAATCACTTTCGCTAGGATTCCAGATATCTTCGCTCATAAAAAGTCATAGATCAGTTTTTAAACAATGGAGAAATTTACATATGACTTAAATATATATATATATTCATATTTATATAGTAACATATCAAACAAAACATTACAGATCAATTTTGAATTCATTATCCCCATAAAACCTTTCTAAGTAATTCTTGCAACCAGATCTCTCAGAGGAAACTGGTCACCTACCACTCAATAGTACTGAGAAATCATACTACCCAGTTTAATAGAAGAATTCAGATAAATATCAAATTTCCATCTTAATAATTGACTAGGAGGATTCAGAGACAACTTTGGGTCTCTTCCTCCCTAAACATACACCTTCTCCATGGATATGTAAAGTCACCAGAAAAAGCTCTCAATATTTTTTGCATTTATAAATGTAATTTTTGCATTTGTAAATGCAGCAATCTTACAAATATTGAAAAAATAAATAGAAGTTGTCAGCATCTGCACTTTTTATCATTTCACATTATACTGCTATGTTCTTGTCGAAAAAATACTTACTCTTCAGTTTTTTCTATTCATACAAAATTAATAGCATCTTAAGTATGTGGTGGTTGCTCTAGACTCTGACATACTTCTAAAAGAGGCTAGTTGAAGCACAGTGTTTTTTTTAATTCTCTCATATTAGATGAACAGCTATCTTACATTATTTACTTGTGGAGTGCCAATTTGGTGAATTATATGCCAAAAATGTTTCTACTTGAGTCAAATTCTCCTTAGGATACTTAGGGTTATTTGTGGAAGTTTATGAACTAAAAATTCCTAAACACTGAAAATTAAAATTAGAGGGAAGAAAATACCTGTTTATCATGTGACATGAAATCATCTATTTCCATGGTCCTGGTGTTATATAACTTTCCTGATAATTGCACTGAATATCTACAGTGGCGATGCAGTCCACAAGCCTGGCAGGAACAGTTTTCAGGATTCTTCAAATGAATGCTTACATTAGAATAATTTTCTACCCGCTCCTGAAAGCAATAAAAAAATACAAAAAAGTTTAAAAGATAAAAAATAAGAATAAGAGTAAGAATCTAACCAAATTAAAACATCTTAAGAATCACAGTGCAAAGAGATATAAGAGGAAAACACCCTGGCATTTCTTACTTTAATATTGAGCACATAGTAGGTATTTTACAAGATATTTTTAAACAAAACAATTTATAATCTTGGCTATTACATGAAAACAAACCAGACTAGGAAAAAACTAGTTTCATATCTCTTACACTTTTGCAGCTGCAACTAAGTAGTGCAGCTACTAAGTAGTGTAGCAACCTTGATAGATTTTAATTTACTTCTTTTCCATTTCTCATCTCTAGTTAATGTTAATGAGGTGTTAGTTAAAAATAGAAGCAGCAAAAATGTAGAATGATATAAGAAAAATAATTCAAGTAGGCCAGTTAAAACTTCAGAAAAAAAATCACATTCACTTTCCATTGTATGAATTATGTATTTTCCACACAAAAAAAGTTCCAGAAATAATTCAATCCTCCTATGATAACTTACTATAGTCCTGTGGAAAACACAAGTTGACACTAGGATTGCCATGTGTCCAGTATTTATATGGACCGTTTAATAGCTCAGTTATCAATAAGTAAGAGAAGATACTTGGCATTTATAAATAAGCTTCATTATTAGTTACTTGTGCCTGAGAATTTCTGCTTATGTTCTAGGCCTGTGCTAAATACTAGTATTCTAAGTGGTAGTGTAGACTAGGTTTTAATACAATATTTGAACTGCACACAATGAGCATATTAGCATGGTTACTAAACCACATTCATATCCTCTACCAGCTGATGCTAATTAAGTATCCAATATACTGACAGTTTCCTTTTATATGATTCAATACCACATTTTCAGGGGGTCAACTTTTCATATTTCTCATACTTGATGGCACTTTATGACATGTATTACTTACAGGCTGAAATTCAGACCGAATAGGTAACTAGCCACCTTCCTTTCTTGCTTCTTCTGTACTCCATGGAAACACATGGTAAGATGAAACCTTTATGGAGCTCTATCAGCTCATTTCCCTGCGTGACTACAATCAGCAAAGCACCCCTGATGACTAACACTGAAAATAGTGAAATAGTTTAGTGAAAATAAACTTTGATGGGTTAAGCCATTGAGATTTTATTGTTGGTTTATTTGGTTTGTTTGTCATATTCTTTATCTTCTGTAGCATAACCTAGCTTATCCTATTAAGATCTTACTGAATCATCTATGTCTCCATTTTTCAGCTAATATTTTTTGGTATCCTACAGTTATTATTCCAATATCAGATTAACCAAATTCAGTAGTACCCACCACAATATGGTAAAACATAATATGGCATATTGGCATGGGTTTTGGAGTCTGAGTGACTCTCAGTTTAATACAAGCCCGTCTAATTATTAACAGTGGAACCTTATGTTACTTTATTTTTCTGAGACAGTTTTCTCATCTCTAAAAGAGGGGAAATAATAGTGCCCTGGGCCGGGCGCGGTGGCTCAAGCCTGTAATCCCAGCATTTTGGGAGGCCGAGGCGGGTGGATCACGAGGTCAAGAGATCGAGACCATCCTGGTCAACATGGTGAAACCCCGTCTCTACTAAAAATACAAAAAATTAGGCATGGTGGTGCGTGCCTGTAATCCCAGCTACTCAGGAGGCTGAGGCAGGAGAATTGCCTGAACCCAGGAGGCGGAGGTTGCGGTGAGCCGAGATCGCGCCATTGCACTCTAGCCTGGGTAACATGAGTGAAACTCCGTCTCAAAAAAAAAAAAAAATAGTGCCCTCTAGCTGGCCACAGTGGCACACGCCTATAGTCCCAGAAACTCAGGAGGCTGAGGTGGAAAGATCTTGAGCCCAGAAGTTCAAGTCCAGCCTGGGCCACAGAGTGAGACCTGTCTATTCTCTCCAAAAATGGTGTCTTCCACATGGGGTTACTTTGAAGATAATAAAATATTTTAGTTTACTTGTAGACCACTTGGCTAAAGTTAAATAATCTATAAATATGGTACAGGTATACCTCAGAGATATTGCATATTTCGTTCCAGATCACCACAATAAAGTAAATATACTGATAATGTGTAACACAAATTTTCTGGTTTCCTGGTACACATAAAAGTTGTTTACACCATGCTGTAGTCTATTAAGTATGCAACAGCGTTATGTCTAAAATGTATGTAATTTAAGCTATTGTAAATTAAAAAGTACTTTAGGTCTAAAGAATGCTAACAGTCATCTGAAACTCCAGTGAGTAGGCATCTTTTTGCTGATAGTGTTTTGCCTCAGTAGGATGGCTACTGACTGATAAGGAGCTAGTTGCTGTAGGCTGGGGTGGCTGTGGCAATTTCTTAAAATAAGGCAAGAAATTTTGTTGCATGCATTCTTAAAATAAGACAACAATAAAGTGTGTTGCATCCATTGACTCTTCCTTTCATGAATGATTTCTCTGTAGCATGCAATGGTGTTTGATTGTATGTTATGCAGAACTTCTTTCAAAATCGGAGTCAATCCTCTCAAGCCCTGACAATGCTCTAACAACCATATCCTAAATCCACTGTTGAAATTTCAACAATGTTTGTAGCATCTTTCCTTCCCTCGGGGTAGTTTCCATCTCAAGAAATCATGTTCTTTGCTTATCTATAAGAAGCAACTCCTCACCCATTCAACTTTTATCATGAGATTGCAGCAAACCAGTCACATCTTTGTTTCACTTCTAGTTGTCTTGCTACTTCAGTTTTATCTGTAGTTACTTCCTCCACTGAAGTCCTGAACTCCTTCAAGTCATCCAGGAGGGTTGGAATCAAATTCTTTCAAACTCTTCTTAATGTTGATATTTTACCTTCTTCCATCAATCATAAACGCCCTTGATGGCATCTAGAATGATGAACACTTTCCAGAAGGTTTTTAATTTACTTTGCCTAGATCCATCAGAAGAATCACAGTCTATGGCAGCTACAATGAAATACATTTCTTTTGTTTTTTTTTGAGATGGAGTCTTGCTCTGTCACCCACACTCTTGTGCAGTGATGTGATCTTGGCTCACGGCAACCTCTGCCTCCCAGGTTCAAGCGATTCTCCTGCCTCACCCTCCCCAATAGCTGGAATTACAGGTGTACATCATGACACTTGGTTACTTTTTGTATTTTTAGTAGAGATGGGGTTTCACCATGTTGGCCAAACTGATCTTGAACTCCTGACCTCAGGTGATCCACTGCCTTGGCCACCCAAAATGCTGGGATTACAAATGTGAGCCATTGCACCTGGCCTGGAATTTATTTCTTACATAATAAAACTTGAAGGCCAGACACGGTGGCTCACGCCTGTAATCACAGCACTTTAGGAGGCTGAGGTAGGCGGATCACAAGGTCAAGAGATTGAGATCATCCTGGCCAACATGGTGAAACCCTGTTTATACTAAAAATACAAAGGACAGGCTGACTGTCTTGTTAGGGGCTAATGCAGCTGGTGATCTAAGTTGAAGCTAATGCTCATTTACCATTCCTAGGTAAATGGGCCCTTTAAGAATTATGCTAAACTGACTCTGCTTGTGCACTATAAATGGAACAACAAAACCTGAATGACAAATCTGTTTACAGCATAGTTTACTATTTTAAGACCATTGTTAAGACCTACTACTCAGTAAAAAAACATCTTTTCAAAATATTGTTGCTCATTGACAGTGCACCTGATCACCCAAGAGTTTTGATGGAGATTTACAAGGAGATTAATGTCATTTTAATACCTTCCAACACATCCATTCTGTAGCCCATGGATCAAGGAGTAATTTTGACTTTCAAGTTTTATATTTATTTTTATTTATTTTTGGTTTTTTTGAGACAGAGTCTCGCTCTGTTGCCAGGCGCCAGGCTGGAGTGCCATGGCGTGATCTTGACTCACTGCAACCTCCGCCTCTCAGGTTCAAGCAATTCTCCTGCCTCAGCCTTCTGAGTAGGTGGGACTACAGGAGTATACCACCAAGCCCAGCTAATTTTTGTATTTGAGGTTTCCTCACATCACCGAGTATTCACAGAAGTAAAAAATTAATGCCTTGCTCTGGATTCGTCTTTAGCTTGCAAGAATGTTGTTGCTAGTTTGATCTTCCATCCATACCACTAAAATGTTCTCCATATCAGCAGTAAGGCTGTTTCAATCATTTGTGTATTGCTTTTAATTTCCTTCAAGAACTTTCCTTTGCATTTACAACTTGGCTGTCTGACACAAGAGGCTTACATTTCAGCCTAAGTGAGCTTTTCACATGCTTTCTTCAAAAAGCTTAATCATTCCTCACTTTTGATTTAAAGTGAGAGGCATGCAACTCTTCCTTTCACTTGAATAATCAGAAGCAATTTTAGGGTTATTAATCAACCTAATTTCATTACTGTTGGGTCTTAAGGAATAAGAATGCCTGAGGAGAGGAAGAGATATGGGAAAACAGCCAGTTGATGGAGCGGTGAGCACACACATTTATCAATTAAGTTCACTGTCATGTAGGCATGGTTTGTTGCACCCCCAAACAAGTATAATAGTAACATCAAAGATGACTGATCACAGATCATCATAAAATATGTAATAATGGAAAAGTATGAAATACTGCAATAATTACCAAATTGTGACAGAGACGAATAAGCACATGGTGTTAGAAAAATAGTATCAACAGACTTGTTCCATGGGGAATTGCCAAAACTTTCAATCTCAAAAAAACAAATTATATGCAAAGTGCAGTAATGTGGAATGCAATAAAACAAGGTATGCTTGTATATGCTATATTTTTCTATTAAATAAAACAGTATTTATGCCACGTTCTAAAAGCCGTGCTTGTACTTTATCTTCAAAGAAAGTAAGTAGATACAGTATTTCATAGGTGGCAAGTAGATAAATATTTGCCACCTATGAAGAAGAAATGGGGTCAGAGAGGTTAAATTTATCAAAAGCCAAAAAGATAGCCCTAAACTCAAGCCATCCTCCAACTTAAAGTCTTTTAATTCTTCCTGTAATCCTACATTGTCTTTTAAACCTAATCTATGACTAATTTATCACCACATAATTCAACAAGGCTGAAAAGCCTTGGATGGAACCGAATCTCTTGTCATAAATGAGGTACAGGAACTAGTGATTTAAGTGCTAAAAGGATTTTAAATAACTTAAACTTTGATTATCTTTTCATTTTTTTTATCTTGTTAATCATTAGAATATAGAATGTTAGAAGTAGTGGGGAGAAAACCCTTACAAATCATATAGTACATCCTCTGCTATTAGAGATCATAAAATAGATACCTAGTACATGAAACAAAATGTGGCAAATCTTATAAATTAAAAAGGTTTTTCTCCAAATTGGTAGAATTATGCGATCTTAAAGTAATGAAAAGATGCCAAACACTATCTAGGCCAAACAATGTGTTATGGAAGTCAAGCATCATTAAGAGGTAAACAGGTGTTTCATAAAACAGAGCTTCATAGACTAAAACACAAATTTAGGAAGTATTGCATTCTATATCCCCCTTTGAATATTTACAGTATAAATTCACATATAATGCTCGGGAAAAGTCTTCCAGTAAAGAAACCAGATTACATTAAATCCACTGATTCTCAAATTTCTTTGGCTATGGAACTATCTCTTCTGATGTAACAACACCCTGTGAGATGATCTAATTTTAAAAGATGGGCTAAGCCCTGGAGATGTTCTAAAGAAATTCGTCATTTTGAACCATTTAATTATTGGATATAGTTAATGTGAATGATTAAAACAATAATAGCTTTTAGAAGATGTGAGAAATAATAAGCTGATTATTAAACAAAGAAATGCCAGTATTTTAGAAGATTATTCAGTCTAGATTTTAAATCCTGAGAGGTCTGCTGCCCCAACCCCCAAGCAGAGATTCAAAAACAAACTGTATACCTTATATTGTTCTTTCCAACGACTTCTAGATACCAAACTCTCTAGACGAGGTTGAACAAAGCGGTTATCCAAATAATGAAGAGATGTGAGCATATCTTTTGCATATGATTTTTGCCTCTTGCCATCTGTTCAAGGGATAAATAACAAAAAATCATTTTGTTAATAAGAAATATTTAAACAATTTAATACTTAAAAATTTCTTCCCGACTTTGTTGGGAACATTTTAAATTAGGAAAAAATATTAAAAAAATAATTCCATCAGAACATTAAGAAAAAACAGAGTAAGGACTCTATAGTTCTCCTTATAAGTATAAAACAAGCTTTAACATTATTTTCTGATAACAAAAAAAGCCAGATGAAAAAGCTTGCCAAATTATTTTTTATTCTCTTATACAAAACTGACATGGATTAGCCCCTGAATTCCAGATAAAGCTCAAACTTCTGAGTAGACTTTCAAGGTCATCTGCAACTGATTTTATTCTACTGATTCCACGGTAACTCATTGTGTGAACAAATCAGAATGCTCTTTTCTGGCTAGGCCTTTTTCTCACTCTTCTTTAGCATGCTACACTCATTACTGCCTTCCTGATTTGGCTCACAGTATATACGCTATATATGTGTCACAGTATGAATTCAAGCTTTATTTTCCTGACTTACTGGAAGTTTTATTAATTAATTTAGCTAATGAATTTATCATATTTCTTAAAATCATCACAAATTCAAACACCTTACCATGGCTTACAAACACCTTACCATGGCTTCTGTCCTCAGCCTACTTCTCCGAGCTCCTCTTTCCTCCCTCTCTCCTATCTCATTCCATTCCAGCCACACAGGCCTTCTAGTTGCTCTTGAACACACCAAACTTACTCCTTTCTAAAGGCCTTAGCACTTCCTTTGCCCTCTGCTAAGCAAGTAATCTACATATTACTTACTCCCTCTGCATCATTCAGGTTTCTGTTAAAAGTTACCTCCTGAGAGGCCTTCTTTGACCACTCGAACTAACATACAACATAAACTTTACCTTCCCTTATTCTCTATCTTCTTACCCTATTTTATTCTTTTTTATAACAACTAATCACTCGTTGAAATCATATTATATTATGCTTACTCATTTATTGTCTGTCTCTCCCATTAGACTTTAAGTAACATGAGTGCAGGAATATATAACACATAAAACAGCAGAGTGCTGGGGATATGACAGCGACTTAAGAAATATTAGATTCCTGCACTATTAGATTCCTATGAATATATATATAAATTTGCTCCCACACTATGATAAGGGAAGAAAGCAAAAATACATTTTCAATACAATATGTAAAGTGCATATACATGAATAGAACCATACTCAGGATGATGGTATTTTCGTATTGAAAACGCATTTTCAATACAATATGAGAAGTGCATATAAATGAGTACCATGAGTACCACCATAATCAGGATGATGGTGGCACAAATAAGAATAACAAATATTATGTGAATGGGTCATGGATAGTTTCATAGTAGAAATGTTTTTATACTCACCTAAAACATCTGGGACAAAAAGGGATTATTTTCTAAGAAGAAAAGCATGGGCAAAGGCACAAAAGCAGAAAAAAGCAAGGAACTTTTAGTGAAATTCACAGCTCTGGGAGGCTGGTTTGGCACATGAGTATTAATACACTCTGCTGTTTTATGTGTTACACTGTAAAATCCACTGTTAACTATCTAGGACAAGGACCTGTCACAAACTTACTTTCCATATATCTCAGATAATAAACACTAACAAGCATTTTACATGGAGTTTTGCTGTAGCTGATCCTACAGGGAAAAAATTGGAAGGTCTTACTAATGATCCTCGTTGGTTTTGTTTAATCTACATAGTTTTAAAATTGGAAAAAGTAATAAAAACCAATTATTTCATTCATACTATTAACTTACCATACAATGTTCCCAGGAAAGATTTATCTAAAGCATTGATCAGAAGAGCCTTCACAACTCTTTCAAAATGAGTATAGTGGTCACTAAAAGAATCTGAAATTAATTTTAAATAAATATTAGAATACAGCAGACAAAATAATTTGTTGAATACAATAGGTTCCATTCTTCAATGCTAGGAAATTAAAACTTTATAGATAGTAGAAACAGTTTAATCATCCTAATTTCACAGCTTCCTCAATGACTTGTCTAGTCAGGGAGAAAATCTCCATTTTACAAACTTATTGGCTTCCAATCTAAAGGGTCTACTTGTTATTTCAAATCACTTCCCAAACTTAAGAAAACTGTTCAGAGAATATTAAAATATGTTCTGGAAAACTAAAAATTATCCCTTGTACACCAATATTTATCAATTTGACACTTAGAGTGAGAGAACAGGAGAGAAAACCTCCAAAGACAGTTTACTAATATGACTTATTCTGTAAAACACATTACATATGAAATTGACCAGGAAGCTGCTACTTTAGCCAGAACCCCAATGGCTATAAAAAACTCCATTTCCCTTTTCATGCTGCCCCAGATTTAGGGTTTTCTATATCAATTAGAAATCTTGTATATTTCCTTCCCCATACCACATATTTAAGCCCACTTTCTCACTAACCAAATCTCATACATGACATCATCTGTTGTGACAGGGCAGGCAGCGATAAGAGAGGATTCCTACTATTCTCATTACTTTTGGATCAGAGTTGACTATGACTGTTGAAATGTTCTCTATCAACTATGACCCCTTCCTTGATCTAACAGTCACTGTAGAATACACGCCCTATTCAGGGCACATATGAAGATATGCTAAGGGAAGCCTGAGTATTTCAGAAAACATAGAAGATGTCTGACAAGGATTAAAGCAAAATAAGATCTATCATAAGTAACCATGGATAGATTTTGACTCTCCTTCCATTTGAAGTAAAAACAAAGATGGGGTTAAACATGGAAAACTGTCTTCACTTAATATTTTGGTTACTAAAAGGGCTTTATAACTCTTTTTCAGACTTTAGGGTACATTTTAGAATGCATTCTTTTCTAAGGAGACACCTATAGAAATGCTAAAGAGACAAAAATAAAGTAATAAAAATAAATGACAATAGCAGGTCATTTGGGCATTAGCCTTTAGATGGCCCATGATCAACTGAAAATTATAAGAGCACTGGCCAGGCTCTGTGGCTCATGCCTGTAATTCCAGCACTTTGGGAGGCCAAAGAGGGGGGATCAGGAGGTCAGGGGTTCGAGACCAGCCTGGTCAACATGGTGAAACCCATCTCTACTAAAAATACAAAAAAATTAGCTGGGTGCAGTGGTGGGCACCTGTAATCCCAGCTACTCGGGAGACTGAAGCAGGAGAAGCACCTGAACCCGGAAGCCACTGCACTCCAGTCCTGGCAACACAGTGAGACTCCATCTCAAAAAAAAAAAAGAAGAAGAAAAGTATAAGAGCACTAATCATGGCTTTTAGTGAATATTTTCTTAAAAATAAGTAGAGCAAAATTGAAAAATAATACTTCAATAGAATTTAACTTTGACTAGACTGTTATCAAACTCTGGATATAATATGGTATTGAGCAATTTTGTGTTAAAATCCATCTATCTATAGTAGCATATTTCAAATGGTATTAAGAGAAACTGGGAATATTAACAGATGTGCTGAGAAAAAAAATCAAATTCATCCCATGTGTACCTAAGTTTAACTATACAAACTGCAATAAAATATTTCATCCTACTGAATTTACCATTCTTGAATGTCCTAATGCCCAACGCTGCTCATCTGCTACAGAATTTTGACAACTAACTGCTTCTAGTTGAAAGATCCTAAGAGGAAATGAAAAGGTCAGAGATCAAAATCATTTGAGGAGTTTTGTCCCCAACCATAAGATTCTTCTTTTATCAATATACATCAGAATGTACTTCAAAAAAGTCAGGAAAAAGGGCCCTATTTCATTACACTTGAGTGGACTGGTGGATGGTGGTGGAATAATGCTCCTGGAATTTCAGATTGAAAAATAATATTACCAAGAAAATATATGCCAGGAATCATTCTAAGCATTTACATGCATTGCTTTATTTTTCACAACAAGCCTGTGGGATATTATCATTACCCTAGATTCATTTCCGGTTGAGGAAGCTGAAATATAGACAGGATGAAAAACTTTCCTAAGACCAAACAGCTAGTAAGTTTTGGAACTAGGGCTGGAACTCAGTCTAACTCCAGATTTCATGTTTCTATCCTCTAGTTAAATATTGTTATACATGGTATTTAGATTTGATATTATATGTCACAACACAGAATTTAGACTTGGAGGGAAAACTAGAGAAAATAAAATTCAAATCTCCCATCTTAAGAAAAATGGCATTCTCAGTGACAAAATAACTTATCCAAGGTGACACAACTGGATGGAGACAAAAAAAGGCTTAGCGCTCAGCTCTCCTCCAGAGCTTTTCTCATAGTGCTTTAACCCCTATATTGGATGAGCTTCTGTGCAATGTCCCAGGAATATTGTTTTAAACAATATTTTAAATATTTTATTTTAAATAAGCTTTCCCCGTGGTTATTTTAAAAACTGAAAAAAGTAAAAGAGAAAACTATATTTGTGTTTATGTATAACTTATTTTTTTCTAAGGTAGTTAATCAATTTCCTATATCCAATCATTTGGTACTGTAATCATTCTTGGATTTCCATGTATCTTACATCACGTACTAATTTCACATATATGCCAAGATTTGTTTCAATACCACCTACCCTTCTTACTGATCTGGCTGTCATTCTTCAGAATTATTTTGCAAAGTTTAACCAAAAAAATTAATTCAGAAGAAATAACTTCTTGTTCTATACATATTACTTTTCAGAAACATGCTTGTCTCTGTACTTATTCATGTTTTCTGTTCTGTTTCACAGTAAAGTGTATTTTTTTACCTATAAAGCCATACTTTTCTTTTTAATACCAGACTGAGGAATTTTATTTTGGTTGCCATTGTAAATGGAATTTTTCTTGATTACATGACTTAAGTAATTATTATTAGAATACAAGAAAACCATTGAGATTTACATACTTAGTGTGAATCTGGTGATTTTTTTTCTGAGATTTTTTGCCAATTTCAAAATAGTCAGATTCTCTTGGATATTTCCAGGAGATAAGCTTCCTGGAACATTACAGAGCTGGAGATAGACATTGTTAAAGGATTCCTGGACACTATCTCCGCTTTCTCCCATGACCCTAAGGAGAATGTGGTCTTGCTAACGCTAAATTTATTTCAATCACCAAGCGAACGTTTACGAATATTCTTTAAGTAAAAGTATATAGATTCTTGATGTACTTTCTTCTGGAATGGAGGTATCAGCCTAGTATACGAGGCAGAGGCAGAACAAGAAACTAACTCATTTTTCTACTTTAACATAGCTCCCCTACCTTCACCCCTGTAGGGCAAAAGGAATGTGATACAAGCCATGGAAAGATATGCTACATCTACTCCTGCTGTCAAAATATTTATATCCCTTCTCTTAACTTCTGTATCTTTGGTGAAATAAGTCAGAAACTTTTAGCTTATGTGTGTGTACATAATACACACACACATACACACAAATATATGTTCAAATAGTATCTTTGCTTTTTCAATAGTTATTGTATGTCTTGTTGCTTTTTCAAAACATCTAGAACAAAGGAGAAAATATTTTTGTCATGTTCCTGATTTAAAAAAAAATACGTCTAGTGTTTCATTTTAAGTATGCTGTTGTCTCTTGCTTTAAAATACTGTCATGTAAAGGACATACACTCCTATTACTAATTTTTTAACAACTGCTTTTCTTAAAATCCAGGCATGGGCATTGAATGTTATCAAATGTTTTTTCTAGAATCTCCATAAATTATATGATTTTTTTCTCTATTGATATATTAATGTAATATATTAATGACTTCTAATTTTAAGCCATTTTAGAGTTCTAAAAAGAATGATTAGAAATCTTTATTTTTGTAATTAGAAAAATAGTTCACACGTTTGCAAACTATTTTCATCAATTTATTAGAAATGTAAGCTTCTTTAATCTGCATAAATGTGTTATGTGTTATGAAAATACTTCAAGAATACTTTCTTCTATAATAACTTTGAATTCGTATCTTATGTTTTCCCATCCAAAAATATGGTATGATTTTTAGTATATTCAAATCTTCTTTTACATATCTAACTAAAGTTATAAAATTTTCCTTTAGATTTCCATTTGCTCTATAATTCTGCCACCCCCTCCCCCAAATTTATGAAATAGGGTCTTCATTTCTAGTCTTTAATTATCTTCTCCTTTATAACTATTTTTTTCTTCTCTACGCTAAAACTTCTCAAGTATCTCCTGTCATTCATGAAATTTTCTGGAATGTTAGTTCTGCTCTCTACTGCTTTCAATACAGACTTTATTTCTGACTTTATATTTCAATTTTTTTTGGCAATTTGTATCTTAACTAGCTCTCTTTCACCTCAAATTGTTCTCTCCCTATAACTTCTTCTTCATAGACTACATAGCAAATGCTTTATACCATTTTCTTGTTTCCTTTAATGAAATACTTTTCACAGTTTTTTATCCCAGAGTTTATCTTTACCTTACACTGCAATATAATTTCACAGGTACTTTTTACTTATCCTAGAACAAAGGGAAAGTTCTAAGATTTAATATTTAACATAAATCGCTCTAAGTATGTTCTTAGGCCCACTCTTTGTTGTGTTAGTAGAATGGTTTTCTTTAATTAGTAGGTGGAGACTAAGTTGATGTTCACTCAGTCTAATTTCCAGTGTTCTAGCAAGGCACTAGTAGACTGAAATGTATTCTACTCTTATCTCTACTACTTGATTCCGTGACTCTGAATATATAATAGAGAGCTAGATAAATATTTAGTATCCATAAATCTGAAGGTTTTTCCTATCTCTCTACTTGCATACAGTATTTTTAATGTGTGAACTATGTAAATGCGGTATACAATGGACCACTGCTAGTCTATCCCTGTCTACTTCTTACCATATCTTTTCTAAGAGTTGTTGTTTCAGAATAAATATAGAGATATAATATAAAAATAATATAAATATAAATATAATGGGGATTGATGACAAAAGAAAAAGACTACGACTGTCTTCAACTGTTTCAACTATGAAGTAAGAGGGAAACTACCCTGTTTTAAAGTAGAACAGATGCATCTCTCGGAGCCAAATGGCAGAAAAGAAATTACAAAATGTCTTCCTACAGGTTAGAATTGCTCACTTCAAAAAGGCAAAGTGCATAGGCTACTGATTCCAATTGTCAGCTGAATACTGAATTTAGAGTTAGGAGATGTTTCTCCCAAATTCTGATATGTTGAATATGATTGGCTGGCAGGAGAATGAAACTTGGAATATTGCTTTAATTACAACTTAACCCAAGTCATAAAGTGGTGTTCATTATTCATCATATAGGTTATTGTTTTAGTGAGGACATGTAGTTTGATTTTTCAAATGTAAGAATTAACTTATAGCAATTTTTAGAACATAATTTCCTGGCAAATTGAAAACTATGTACATTAAATTTTATTTATATTTAAATATGGCACAGAACTGCTAAATATTAAAAACATCAATTCAATCAAATTATCACACTAGAATGTATGATTTTTTTCTCTAATGTTTGAAAAAATCAGATGTCCAATATTTCTCTGAGTCCTGAACTGTAACATTTAGGAGTCTTTAGCCAATATGCTTATCTTAACCATCTACGCAACTAACAATGAGTTCGTATAATGTGTCACAAATTCTAATGGGTAATAGAAATACAGAGAAAGGAAGCTGGTTAACCATTTAGGTTTTGTTTTTGTTTTTTGGAAGTAGGGGCCCCCACATGGCTTGTTTCATCGAGCTTTACTACTTTATAAACCATAAAATTTATTTATTCTTTTTGGTATACAGTTCTATGGCAATGCATAAAATTACATAACCACCACCAAAAGAGTTATATTACAACTCAAAGCTCCTTCATATTACCTGCTAATCATTCAGTTTTGTTCCCATTGAGCCTGAGATATCTGAAAGTCTGATAACAATTGTCAATAAGATAATAAAAAATCAGGCTTTATGTTTAGGAAAAATCTTGGCTAGAGATAAAGGTTTGGGAATTTTTGCTTAAAGACTGGACTGAAGTAATGGGAAAGAGACTGTCCAAACCCATAAGCAAAATGAAGATAGTTGAGGGTGGAACCCCTGAAAACATCAAAATTTATAGAATAAATAGAAAACGATGAACAGAATGTTACAAAGGGAAATGTAAGAATGTGGGTTACCACAGAAGGTAAAAGAAGAGCATTTTGAAAGTGAGAGTGGTCAATAGTAGTAAAGCACATGGCAACACCTGGTTAATATAAGAACTAAAGGTATTCTGGCAACTAGGAGGGTATCAATAACTTAAGAACAATTTCACTAGATTGACATAAGCAAAAGCCCAAATACAGTGTTTTGTAGAGTTATTGGGAAATAGGAACAAAAAGATAAAATTTAAAATAGTAGCTAATGCAACATGCCAGCTCAAAGGAGCAAAGGCATGAACTTGGTTACAAGTTGAGGAAAAACAGTTTGTAGGGATTAAATCATTGAAAATAAAGAGAACTGAGTAGATAATAGAGCTGGATGAGAAGCTGTAATTAGGTATACATATACATCTGTATAAATACATATACATCTTCTTGAGGTAGAGATGCTCAGTATTAAAAGGAAGCCTCAGTATTAAAAGGAAGCCTCCTCATATTTACCCAAATGAGTTGAAAACTTATGTCCATAGAAAAACCTGCACACAAATGTTTACAGCAGCTTTATTCGCAATTGCCAAAACTTGCAAGCAACCAAGACGTATTTCAATAGGTGAATGGATAAACAAAACTGTGGTACATCCATACAATGAAAAATATTCAGCAATAAAAAGAAATGTGTCATTAAGCCATGTTTAGACATGGAGGAAACTTAAATGCATATTATTAAGTGAAAGAAGACAGGCTGAAAAGTTACATGCTATGTGATTCCAACTATATGACAGCTTGGCAAAAGCAAAACTATGGAGAGTGTTAAAAACATCAGTGATTCAGGAAGGAGGAAAGGAGAATGAATTAGAGCACAGGGGATTTTGAGGACAATGAAACTACTCTGTATGATACTGTAATGGTGGCTACACGTCATTACACATTTGTCAAAACCCATAAAAGGTACTACTTGAAGAGTGAGCCCTTTTATGAACTATGAACTACAGTTAATAATTGTAACAGAGTTACCAAACTAATAAAAGAGGTTAATAATAGGGGAAACTGTATGCAAGCGGGTATTTTTGAAGTCTGTACATTCCATTCAGTATTTCTGTAACTCCAAAGCTGCCCTTAAAAAAAAAAAATGCTAAAAGGTGTAAAGAAGTTGAAGTTCCCATATGCTAGCCTTTTATTTTCATTAACTGGCAGGAGTTGGTATGAGTGGGGATCTCTCAACAAATGTTCTATCACATTCTAAATAACCCAGAATAGGATATCTCCTAATTGAGTATCCCTGTAATTTACATGTCCAGGTGTCAAGTGAGCCAATGCCTATGGATATAAGGAAAACAGTCATTCACTTGTAGCACAGAGATGCCTGTAAATGGCATCTCTAACTGCCAAATTTCTTGAAATGTAATTCATATCTCAAAATCTATTTTATTATAAATCATGAGATATAAATCAAATTATGCTATAGTTAATTTTAGTCAATATGGCCTTTTCTGAAATATTTGGAAAGAATGCACTCAAAGAAAAAAATTAAAAATGTATTCATCCAACAGCCTGTTCCTACCAAAGCTGTAAAACATCATAAAAACAATCTTTGAAATTTTGTACAATTACAGGAACCATAATAATAATAATTTAAGTATATCCTACATTTTCAGGCTCCATGATTTATATTTTCAGGTAAGTAATGTCCTATCTCTGATAAGTTTCACTGTTTGAGTGAAGCTTGAAAAGGTCTGATAAAACCAATGGTTCTCAAAGAGTTTGTCTGCAGACCCCTGAGAGTGCCCAAGTCCATTTAATGAAATCTGTGGTTTCAAGTAATAACAATAAGATATTATTTATTTGCTTCTTTCACTGTGTTGACATTTTTATTGATGATATAAAAGCAGCAATGGCTAAGTCACTTGGCCCCTTAATTTGAATCATGGCAGCAGTACTACTAGTAATCATTATAGTCATTACTGCTAGGCACTCACAGTAAAAAAGCCACTTTCACTTTAGAATGTCCTTTTTGAAGTAGTAAAACGATTAATTTTATTAAATTTTGACTCTGAAGTACACATCTTTGTAATATTCTATGGGATGAAACAGGAAGTGCAAAAAAGTACTTATACTGCATACCAAAGTGCAATGATTGTTTTGAGGAAAAGCACCTGTGCGACTGTGTGTGCTGGGGAAAAGCCTCATTTTTCAAGAAATACCATTTTTTATTTGAAAGCGTGATAAGCTCTGGTTATTCAGACTTTGGAACCTGTTAGACTTTTCTCAAAAAAACAAAGTAAGCCTGTTAGTTCAAAAAGAAGAATTCACAGTGTTTTGTTGCCAATGATAAGAATCAAGTTTTAAAGTAGAAATTATAATTCTGAAAAACTTGTATGTGCTATTGTGAGCCTGACAGCTTCTCAATACCTTAGAAATAGTCTCATGGGACTGGTGGTGATATTTATGAATATAATTAAAAGTATATATATAATGAAATATGTCAACATTTGGAGGATCTGTATCATCCAGTGAACCAATTTTTTCCAAATGACCTATGCATTTTATCACAGATTCATGCATGGGGAAATGATCTATTTAAACTACAAGACAGACCAATGGTTATACAAGTACTAAAACTTCATTCACATGGGTTTAGAATTCCATATTACCTTTAAGAAAGTAGTACCATTTGTCAAATTTTGGCATAGTACCAAATGTGAATATCGACAATTATTTTAAAAATTCTATTAAGATACTCCTCCCTTTTCCAGCTACCTGTGTGAGGCAAAATTGTTTTTATACACTTCAACCAAAACAACACGTCACAACAGACTGAATGTAAAACCAGATATAAGAATCTAGCTGGCTTCTATCAGCTAGACATTAAAGACTTACAAGAATGTAAAACAATGCCATTTCTCATATTTTGGGGGAAAATATAGTTACTTTTCATAAAATTGTTATTTATATTAATGTAATAAATTGACTAAGGGTTATTTAAAAAGAATTAATAAATATATTTTAAATTTCTCAGTCTTGATTTCTACATTTAAAATTATTAGCCCCCACAGGCCTTTAATTCAGTGAGTTATGCCTGTCAATATATATTGACAGGCATAACTCACTGAATTAAAGGCCTGTGGGGGCATACTGACAGACATAACTCACTGAAGTAAAGGCTTGTGGGGGCTAATAATTTTTTAAAAATGTAATTGGTTCCTGAGACCACTGGAATAAACTATTAAACTGACAAGGTTATCTGAAAATGAAACCACAGTTCCTAGTCAATGATTTAGAATACGATATTAAAAGGCTAATTTGGGGCCAGGTGTGGTGGCTTACGCCTGTAATCCCAGCATTATGGGAAGCTAACGTGGGCAGATCACAAGATCAGGAGATCGGGACCATCCTGGCTAACATGATGTAACCCCATCTTCACTAAAAATACAAAAAATTAGCCCGGTGTGGTGGCACATGCCTGTAGTCCGAGCTACTCGGGAGGCTGAGGCAGGAGAATCATTTGAACCTGGGAGGTGGAGGCTTCAGTGAGCTCAGATTGCACCACTGCACTCCAGCCTGAGTGACAAAGTGAGACTCCGTCCCAAAAAGGAAAATAAGAAAAGGCTAATTTGATACTTGATGTAATATCATGATAAGAACAAATCATAAAATATTCTTAATATTGAACTTACAAAGAGAATTCTGTTTTACTAATTTCAGTTGTGATGTAGTCAATTTTTCTCCTTGTTGGTTTTTATTCTCTTCATCTCCCTCCTCATCTTGCACTACAAAGTCATCGATAATATAATCATCTCCATCTTCATCAGATTCACAATCATCTTCTTCCTCCTCATCATCCTCATCACTGCTTGGGCAGGATTCCTTTTCAGAGTCCTAATTAAATTAAAATAAATGCTTCAGTAAATTGTCCCATTAAAATGGAAAGTATGGATACAAAATTAAAAGAGAGATAAATCTGACAGCAAAAAAATGATTCATAGAAATTAACTTCATATTTTAGGGTTAAAAATAAATAATTTTGTCATTAAATGTTGAAATTTTGAAATTATTGACAGGAAAAATATACCTTGTTTAAGTGATATAAAATGTTTAAAATGGACATTAGAATTATAAGAAGTAAAAAACAAAAAAGATCATGCAAAACAATAAATAGTCTTTCAATTTTAGAAAAGGACAGATTGAGGCTCATGATAAAACAGTATATAGGTACAACAGTATAATCAAACATATTCAAGAACACTTGATTCTAGAATTACTGAGAAATGGAACAGACTAAGCACTTTGATTTTTATAAAAATTAAATACTTTAAGGATAAAACCAAAAAACAGTAACAAAACCAACAAAATACAACACACCTCAAAATCTTTACCACTATTGCGTCTCTGACGAGATCTTTGTTTTGAGAGTTCTTTCAGCTTCTGAAGTTGTTCTCGCTTTCGTGCAGCTAATGTTTTTTCAGGACTTTTCTGCTCCATTTCCAGTGAAGAACCTTCATCTTCAACCACTCTACGTGGACGTTTAACACCTGCTTTTCTAACTAGGATATCACTGTCATCACTCTCATCACTGTCATACATCACAGAGGATAGCCTTTTTCTTTTACCTCGCTTGATGTGTTCTTCTTCTAAATCATCCTCAATTATTTGTCCAGTTTGTTTGTTGAGAACATTATCCACTTGACTTAGATGTTTTTCCTGATCTTGTAAGTCAATATTCATATGTTTGGTTTTGTTCATTTCTTCTACATAGGTTGAACTGTTGCCAGTGTTAATGACATTCTTACTGTCGTTTCCTTCACTTTCAACTTTACTTAATTTAAGCTCTGTTTCACTTCCTGGTGTTTTATTACAATCAAGTCCTTTGTTACTATCAAGGTCTTCGTCACTATCAAAACTTTTGTAATTATCAACACTTTCATCACTATCAAGCTCTTCATCACTATCAAATTCTTCATCATTATCAAGCTCTTCATCGCTATCACATAATTGTGAGATACTACTTCTTTTAGTTCGCCTCCAATCAACTCGAGATTTCTGCTCAGGCACGTGACTTTTAGAATTTTTCCTTGTTTCATGTCTTCTAACATGTACCATTTTCACTTAAGCTTCTACAAAATAAAGTTGTTAGGAATATAACAGTGATAACCAGATTACAGCAATGACTGCATTTATGGTACAAATTATATTAATTTGGCTTTATTTAATGGTCCGCAAAGGCAAAATCACATGAAATATCTGAGTGAAGGTGGCAGAACAATAATTTAACAAATAATTTACTGAATGCTTATGAAATAATTATATGAACATCTATTCTGAATATGTTGTATGTTGTGCTGATCATAGAAAAATCACAGTCCTGTCCTTTAGAAGATTATCTCTGTGTAGAACTAAAATGTAATAATTAAGAACATTTCAAGGTAGTATTTAGTATCAAATGAATAACATAAATAACTGCAATACAAGTGGAAAGATGCAGGGAAATCAGTAAGGCAAGTCCTTCACTTTATCTTGAACAGATGTCATCTGAGAGCATTCTGAAGGATTCATTGTATTTGAACAGAAAGAATAAAAGAAAAAGGGATGTCAGGCAAGTAACAATGGTAAGGACAAAACTACGACTTTAAGAAAGAAGACGGTATGTTCAGTGAATAAGTGTGGCTTAAAATACATTAAAAAAAGAGTTGTATGCTGGAAAAAAGGAGAAAAGAACAGAAAACCGAATGAGATTACCAGGATGACTCACCCTGCAGGCAAAGATTCTGAATAGAGAAATAATATAAATTATAAAAGATCAATTTACACAAAGAAGGTTATAAAGTAACAAATGACGTAAAAAAGAGAGCAGTGCAAAATTGAGAGAGAACATATCCACTAAGATTGTGGCCTCTTTATACCTTAATAAAATGGGAGTGGCTTTCCCTCAAAGTTATAGATAGAATACAATCCAATAGAAAATTTAACTAACAATCCAATAACGTAGTTAGGTGAATTAAACAAGTAAGTTTCATGGCAAAACAGAGCATGGTATTGGGAAGGAAAACAAAAGCTGTCAGCTTATCATTTAGAAAAGCATGAATTCCATTAAAATGATCACAAGAATATATTAAAAGAATAATTAGGGACAGGTAAGATAACTAGAAAAAAAGTAATACCTATGTACTTCTGTGGTTGTCAACAAAGAGAAATACGATCACAATCTAATGAGACTGACCTCATAATACATGTGTTAGAGGTTATATATTGAACTGACAGCTATCCCCGCCAAAGAAATCACCTTATGAGGTTGATTATTCCAATATTTCCACCACAGCACAGAATATTCCTGGAGTCTTTCTATAAACCACACACTATAAAAAAAAAACATAAATAAAAATCTAAAAATATGAAAATAATCACACTTCATTTTTTATCCCAAACAGTGGCTTCAACACCTACTTCATTCACTTGTCTCAGTTGTAAAGACCTGTTAGCAGCTTGTAGAAATGAAATCCAACTTAACAAGAATTAACTATCATTAAAAATATTCAAAAAATATGCTGCAAATTCTGAAGGTAATTACAAAAATTCAATGCCAAAAATGTTTTCAGCAATGGCAATATTACTGGACTATATTTCTAGTTTTCCAAGAGGATTACTTTTTTTCCTATAGACTATGGAAGAGAGGGTACATCTCATTTAATTGTATAAACTCTGGTATGTTTATACAACAATAAGACTTTCTGTAAAATGGTAACACCTCATGTAAAATCAGAACAGGGGCTGCCAAGATTATACACCAGAAATTATAGTGTGTAGGACACAATATAACTTTTAAAGAGGCAGGTCTCATTCTGTTTGTCCAGACTGGAGTGCAATGGCATGATCACAGATTACTGCAGCCTTGAACTCCTGGGCTCAAGGGATCTTTCTGTTTCGATTTTTAAATTTTTTTGTAGAGATGGAGGTCTCACTATATCCTGAACTCCTGGCCTCAAGTGATCCTCCTACCTTGGCCTCAGTGCTGGGATTACAGGTGTGAGCCACTGCCTAAAATATAACCTTATGACAGTAACTACTATAAGATATAATCAGCATTGTAATAGCAATCTAACAAATTCTGGTCAAAAGAGCAGTCTGCTATTTGAAATTACACTTGGGTTGCACCTTACAAAAGGCTTATATTAAAATTAGCAAAGATGAAAATTGTGTGTAGTCAAAATTACCCTTTAAAATACTCTATATTACTCTTAAAGTATGGTTTTGTGTATAATATACTGCGTTACAATATGTCCAACCAGTTTCTCCTTCAGATTTTAAACGGCTTACTGTTTCTTTGGTTAAGCACCACATGAGCTAGGCATCTTATATTCTTAAGCCATATAGTACAAAGAAGTATTTGTAAACACATAAATTTGCATAAGCTAATTGTGCATATGTGCACGTGTAGTATATTACATTGTAATAACAAAGTATAGCTTTCTAATAAGCCTGTTTGATTGGGAGAAATAATGAAAAGACATTTATGAAAACAATGACAAATACAGTTGCAGTAGATACACTAAAGCAAATATGGATAGTAAAGAACATTAAAGTGAAAGATTATTTTTATTAGTACCCAAAAGCAAATTCATATACACTAGATGATTATCTTACAAAACTATAACATGCCAAAAATGTCAGTTATTTATCACAAAACAGGTGATTCCTATGACAATAGTAGAAATGATTAAGAATGTCACACTATTAAAAACTTATGACTGTACAGTTAAGCCATTAAAAAAACTATAAGTTTTTACTGCATTTTCATATTTATTTTTAAATCCTGAAAATGATCCTAGGAGGAAGATATCTACTTTAATGTATAAATATCAAAGGCAAGGACACAGAGTTTAAATGACTTACCAAAGATCACACAGCTTGTTAGTGACAGAGCAGGGATTAGAAACCAGGTCTCTTGATTCCCCAACCAGTGCCACAAAATGACTGCTGCCAATATCATATTTGTGCAAGGCAGGAAAAATTAAGCTTTTAAAAATCATTATTTTATCTCTCATTCATGCTATATTTTAGTTTCAGAAAAATGACCATTAAAACGGTTTAGAGTTTACAAACACGCTTTTTAAAAAAATTATGTAACTGAATTTTACTGCACATGAGTTAGGCCAGAAACTTCTGGAAAACATCCACTAGGCAAGAAAACAATGTGCAAAAGAGATGAAAATTTGCAGACTTCCCTCTATCATCTTATTAATATCACCAATCGCAAAATTTAAAGGAGTCCCCAATAAGCCCAAAAGTAAAGTTTCATAGAAAGGCAGTCTCTGATGAGAAAAATATTTTGGGAAACAGCAGAATTTGAATGCTTGAGGCAGCATCATTTATTTAGACAAACTAAATCGGGTTTCATTGGACCAACTGCCAAACTGCCAGGGTCTCTCATAATTCAAAATGACCATTCATATTAATAAGGTAAAAAATTCTGCTACTGAAAAGGAAAGATTATTTGAACATGTTTGGCTCCTCTTGTTAAATTGTAGATATCTTTACTGTATTAGTTGGGAAGGGAAGAATGATAACAGAGGGAAAAGATGAGTGAAACTTGAAAGAGAAATGTGAAGGAAAAGCTAGTTTGTTGGGTAAGACATCTTGGTCTTTAGAATCTATTCAAAAAAGAATCCATGCAAATGAATGTTACTTCTGTATATGCTGACTATACACTTAATTTCCTGAAATGAGAATTTAATCAAGCTTCTGTAATGATACCTTACCTTTAAGCAAAGAGAAAAACAAAGAAACAGAAAGCATTAAATAACTGAATGAAGACAATCAATACTATCACATCTTTGTGTTTCATGGTTACAAGATGCATATACATAGCTATGTTATTTGCCAAATAATATATATTAAAGGCAATAATCCATATTACTTGCGTTCTTTCTGTAACACAGTATCTCTATAGCTAAAAGAAAGATAATTTGATGATGCCATTTGACTTTCTCATCAGAAGAAGTATACTCCCTTCTAAACTTTGAGGTTAATTCATACTCAAAAAAAGATTCATTCTAGAATTTTTTATACCTCCTTGCTGTATAAACAATGCAGGTGGTAATTAACACTTTTGAGATGTGAAAGGCAGTGGAATCCCAGATCATAATTTGGACTTCCACAGGGAGGGATCCATTCTTGTGCGTAAAACGTCACCCCTCTTTGATGTTTTCTTTTATATGGCAGTTTGGAGAGCAAACATTATTAAGCAAAAAAATAATTACTGAATATCTACCAAAAGACAAGGACCTGCTTGGAATTGTGCTGTCACCAGATATAATAAACATCATGGTCTCTGCTCCCAAAGAGCTCACAATCTGATGAAATTACTAGGGACACCAAAAACAAGCCAGCATAATACACGATTTGAGGGCTGCAGTGTATGATTATGATCAAGTTCTTATCACATTGCTGTGAATAAATTTAACATAGTCCTTCTATTGGCTGGAAAACAGGACAGCAGAACATGACAGAAATAGGGAAATAAACATAAAGAGAGGAAAGCCAATTTCCCCCCTTTAGAATCACAGTCCAACACGGCACAATTTCGCAAGGTGGATACTACCAGCATGGTATCCGGAATAACTATACTACTCATTAAAAACAGTTAACAATGAAGGTGGTTAGTCTAATCCAGCCGGAATGAGTGGTAGACAGACGAATAGATCCTCTCAGGAATGAACACCTGAAAGGGTGATTTTCATGATTACAAACCTCTTTGGCGGAACGCAGGCACCCAGCGCCCGCTAGGCCGCTCGTCCGTCACTCTGCCTCCAGGAGGGAGGGGCACAGTAGCTAGGAAACCGGACCCTCAGAAAGAGGTTCGCGATGACGCGCGCAGAACGACAGAAACCTCCAGACCCCAAAAGGGCTCTGCACCGAGAAAACAATTACAAGGGTCTGAACAGGCCAGAAACCCGAGAAATCACCAATTGAGCTCCCCACATCAGTTCCAAGCACCTCCCCAAGGTGGAAATAACGGGCACCGCGCCCACTGCAGCTCAGCTGAAGAGGAGGGCTAAAGGCGCAAAGGGTTAAGGGGCGCCCTTCGGTCCACCCAAAGAGCGCCCGCGGGAAATTTTCTCTCGGCCCGCCAAGAGGCGCGGCTTCCCCCGCCACTCCAATAAACCATTAGCAGCCACAGCGCGAGCGAGTCCCAGCCGGGAGACAGCCCCGCACCGCCCTCGCGCTCTCACCTTTCAAAGCGCCTCCGCCTCCGCCCCCGCCCCAGGCACCAGCTCTAGACAAGCGACGCTCCTCCCTCTTCCGGGAACCAGGGGAAGTCCCGCCTCTGGGAGGGGAGAGGGGCAGGACCGGGCAGTGGGAGGGAGCGTCTTCCGGGAGTGTGGCTAGGGGCGGAGCGGTTGCCGCGCGGTAGTCAGGGAGCTGTGCGGGTCCTGGTTGCAACAGAGGTGGGGAGAGGGGTCTGGCGGTCTGTGAGGGACTGGGAGGACTGTCCTGGCTAAGGCCGGCGCGTGGAACTGGGGCTGCGCGGTGGGAGGACCCTGCTGCTGGGGAAGGAATCTAACATATCCGTTCCCCTGAGGAAGGGAGCCAGTCCTTGACTCCTTGGCTCTTCCGCTCTCTGCCGTAACTTTGGGGTGTGGCAGGGTTTAGTGACTGGCGCTTACCGGGGATTTGGACGTGCAGGAGGTTCGTGGCCACGGTGGGGCTATAGCCTTTCTCGCGGCTGCTGCGGTAATAAAACACATGTCTTTAATCCGGATTATCCGCAATGACATGGGGCCTCCGCTACTGCCGGTATAAGTTAAAGGCCTGTTCTCTCAAACTTCCTCCTCTTTCACCTTCCTCTACAGTCTGTTTGCCAGCCAACCCCAGCCCGGGAGGGGATCAGGGCCACCAGGTTGCTGGTAAGGTTGAAAGACAGAGTGTGTCAAGACCATTAAAGAGAGTCTGTATAAGAGAAGTCAGGATTTTGTGGATTGCTACCTTGTGAGTGTGGGCTGAGTCCCAGAACCTCGCTATGTCAGGGAAACGGAAGCGTGTGGTGTTGACTATTAAAGATAAGCTTGATATAATAAAGAAACTTGAAGACGGAGGTTCTTCCAAACAACTGGCAGTGATTTATGGAATTGGTGAAACAACAGTTAGGGATATAAGAAAAAATAAGGAAAAGATTATAACTTATGCAAGCAGTTCTGATTCCACAAGTCTTTTGGCCAAGAGGAAATCTATGAAGCCATCCATGTATGAGGAATTGGACAGGGCAATGCTGGAATGGTTCAACCAACAGAGAGCAAAAGGGAATCCCGTATCTGGACCAATTTGTGCAAAAAGGGCAGAGTTCTTCTTTTATGCTTTGGGAATGGATGGTGATTTTAACCCCTCTGCCGGTTGGTTAACTCGTTTTAAGCAGCGGCACAGCATTAGAGAGATTAACATTAGAAATGAAAGATTAAATGGAGATGAGACTGCTGTGGAAGATTTTTGTAACAACTTCAGAGATTTTATTGAACGAGAGAATTTACAGCCTGAACAAATCTACAATGCAGATGAAACTGGACTGTTTTGGAAGTGCTTGCCTTCTAGGATTTCAGTAATCAAAGGTAAATGCATTGTCCCTGGGCACAAGTCAATTGAAGAAAGAGTCACGATCATGTGTTGTGCCAATGCAACAGGTTTACACAAACTTAAACTTTGTGTTGTGGGGAAAGCAAAGAAACCTCGCTCCTTTAAATCAACTGACACTTTAAACCTGCCAGTCTCTTATTTCAGCCAAAAAGGTGCATGGATGGACCTTTCCATTTTTCGACAATGGTTTGATAAAATTTTTGTGCCACAAGTTCGAGAGTATTTAAGATCCAAAGGCTTGCAGGAAAAGGCTGTGCTCTTGTTGGATAATTCACCAACACATCCAAATGAAAATGTCCTAAGGTCAGATGATGGCCAAATATTTGCTAAATATTTACCACCTAATGTGGCCTCATTGATTCAGCCTTCAGATCAGGGAGTCATAGCAACGATGAAGAGAAATTATCGTGCAGGTCTTCTCCAGAATAACTTGGAAGAAGGTAATGACCTGAAATCATTCTGGAAGAAGCTAACTCTGCTGGATGCACTTTATGAAATAGCAATGGCATGGAACTTAGTAAAACCAGTTACCATTAGCAAAGCATGGAAGAAGATTCTCCCTATGATAGAGGAGAAAGAAAGTTTGGACTTTGATGATGAAGATATTTCTGTGGCTACTGTGGCTACCATTTTACAACACACCAAAGGATTGGAAAATGTGACTACTGAGAACCTTGAAAAATGGCTTGAAATAGACAGTACCGAACCAGGCTATGAAGTGTTAACTGATAGTGAAATCATCAGAAGAGCACAAGGCCAAACAGATGAATCCAGTGAAAATGAGGAGGAGGAAATAGAATTAATTCCAGAAAAACATATTAACCATGCGGCTGCTCTCCAATGGACTGAAAATTTATTGGATTATCTAGAACAACAAGGTGATATGATTCTACCTGATAGACTGGTAATACGTAAACTTCGAGCCACCATCAGAAATAAACAGAAGATGACAAAGTCAAGTTAATAATGGCATTTCATTTTATCATTGTTCTGCTCATTGTGTTTGTGATACTTAAACTTCTTGCAATATAGCTTAATGTTCTAAATTCTCAGACCTGGTCCTGTGAAATACAGGTACAAAATGTATCTGAAGTGGTTTGAGCATTATGTGTTTTCATCATTTGTATCTTTTGTCCTTTTATTTGTACAGATAATCAGAAGATGATACTGAATAGATACAAATTACATGTACACGTTTTCACTTTTTAGAATCTGCGATTATACCTTCTGTAACAGTGGCATTGGCATTTCCTAAATTTTCTAGTGAAAGTTAGAGATAACACATTGAGCACTTTTCTGAAATCTTTTGCTTGATTTAGGAAGGCTACCATAGTTATCTTTTCTTGTGTTAACCATCTTAAATGGTGTTTTGTATATTTTAATAGACTGACAGGATGAGAAAGATACTAGATTTCAGGGCGATTTATAATCAAAAATGAAATTCAATAATGGAATAATTATGAATTATAAAAATTATTTGGATATCGTACCTCAGTTCTCTTACATTTGTGTGAGTTGCAAGAGGGAGATTATTCTGGAAATGGACTAAATATGGGAAATGATTGCCAAATGAGAGAAACTATGGGAAAGCTGATCTACAAAGAGGCATTCTTATCAATTCATTTGTAGGAAACTGGGAATTAAAAACCTTGGGAACTTTATGTTATTTATACCAAGGGAATAAATAGGCTGATATTAATTTGATAATTTGGTCTTTTATGAATTTGATAATAGTATAGGTTTATTATTTATTCATCTAATTATAGTACAAGTTTTGTAATGTTACATGTGATGATATGAGCTCCCACCTTATATGGGAGAACATCTTGGGAATTTGAGATTTAATAAGTTTTTTTGTTTTATGTTAGTTTTTTACTGCATACTCGCAAATGTCTATAATTTGAAAAATGTTGTCATACCTGACCCTTTGATGAAAAAAGGAAATTAAAAGAATAAAGCCTTTATGATTTCAAATAAGTCACGTTTGTATCCTGTTTTATGAAGAAAGCAGAAATAATTATGGAAAGGCCAGACATTAAGGAATATTGTTGTTTATTATTTTGACATGTGTAAAAAGGGATTAATCTGCTAAAATGTAATTTAAATCAGAATTTTGATAAATTTTTTTGTAAACTGTTTATTCAAGACATTGAAAATACTTTGCATATATTAATATTAATATAACTTATAATTTAAAAGTAAAGTGTTTCCATGCTGTTTCACGTTTTGGCCAAAAAAATTTTTTTTAAATAATTTAGAATTGTTCTCTATTAGTCATTTTTTAAAGGTTTAACTTTTTTTTTTTAAATAACATTTTATAGTGCTTTCTGTAGAATACTAAAACTTCAAAAAATATTTTTAGCTTTCCATTATTTCTGCTATCTTCATGATATATGTTTGTCTAGATTTTTCAGAAGATGTGTGATGAAAGTGCTTAGAAATTGTGTTCATTGCATGAATTTCCTCAGTGTAGAGTGGGAAAAACTATCAGGAGTTAACGTACATCTTCAATCAGATAATGACACGTTCTACTATAAAGTAAGCTGTATATAAAATAATTTTTCTAAAATGAAAATATGTGCTACAAATATTGGAATTTCTGCTTTTCCTGGATTTGCAGTTTTTAAAATTAATCATGTCAATGCAATGCAGCTGTTTCATTGCCACCTAGTGGTAAAACTAACATTACTGTTAAGCTGTGTGATTTTAAACTTTAATCCCTAGTAAAAGGTTCACTGTTTTGTGGACATGAGTGTGGATCTTGTGACTCTTTCTCTAGCCAATAATAGACTACTGTTCTTTGGTTTATGGCTATTCTCTGAAATCTGCCAACACTGGTATCTAGCCCTGTTTTGGATCCTTCTATCCTTAATTATAAAGACTGATCAGTAGTTGTACCAGATGATGCCAAAAGCTATTTGGGTTCTGTATCTGCCCTCAAAGTTCTAAAAACCAGAGGCTGTGTCTGGCAATTTATTTATCCATTTAAAAATTTGCCATTGGCTCATGTTCTCTTACCAGTTTCACAAAATTTTTTTCACATTGATATTCCTCGACGCAAAACTCTCAGCCAGTGACAGTGCAATGTTTCTTATACTTCTAG